ACATAAATTAATATTGATCAGATATGTCTCTTAAATAAGAATATTCGCTATCGCATATAAAAGTTCTATAATTTAACAATGTGTAAAATTTAATATAGTTTAAAATTAAATGCATATACATCGAAATTAATTTAACACGGACATCCTATACATATATAAGTTTATATATGACTTAAGACTACGATTTAAAATATTATTGTATAACATTAAAGAGAGCGAATGCACGAACACAGTATAATATTACAAAAAACAAACAAACGGGTAAAAAATGAATGAAAAAAAGATAGACACTTAAACGCGTAAATATTGTAAGAGAACTTCAACATATTTAAAAATATTAAGTTAAAAATATTATTTTTTAACAATCATGTAACCAAAATATAAACAAATTGATGACAGAAAAAAAGAACAGTAAAGGAATATTTAACATTAAATTAATAGTTGAAAGGAGCACATACTTTTTAAGTGCCAAGCTTCGAACAAATCAATTTTACTTCAATTAATTATTTAAATCAATGTTGACGGATTATTTAACAATTCAAACGCATCACTAAACATTAGGCACACTTGAAAGTCTCAGTATTATCTATTGAGTATATTCATACCAATTTTTTTTCTTACGGATTATATTTAAATCATTGAAACCTCGCTTATTTTTTTCTTTTAATGCATAAGCATTATCCTTTCAAAACGATTACGTAATTCATCATATATTCTACACCGTTGAACCGTTTAAACAGATACATTAAGATGATCTGTTTAATTAAACGTATTAACTATTTTCTAAAGTATTAAAAATAAAAAAGAAAATGATATTACTTGTGTAGATTACAAACCTATTACCATTATAAACGGCAGAGAGTAATCATTGATTTCATTAAAGAATTTCATTTACATTCAAAATATTCTCACAGAATAAATTAACTTTTCACAGTTAATTTGATATACTAAAATATGCGAGATTTCAAAAGAAGAATTAACAGATTGCAATTACAATTGCGACAATTATAATAAAATTCTTTAAATCGACGCAATGCCATGAGTTCGTAATTTTATTTTATTTTTGGAAGCTGTTTTGCATGAACGATAACGAAAATCTGTCGCCGAGAAATTTTGGTTCTTTCGTGCCAGCCGATGATTCAATAATTTTTTAAAATATTTTTATTTGCAAAAATTTAAATAATTTTGGTCCCAAAATACAACAATTTGGCTAAACAGATACCTATATTTTCCAATATCTGCATATATTCATTAATTAATACTGTTAAATATGGTATTTTTCCTTTGCTATAGAATTTTACTTGTTTCTTAAACAATTTTTCGAAAGGAAAAGCAAATTTTCTATGATTATATAATACTGGATTAAGAAATTTTACACAGTATATCTAATACTTAAAATTACTATGTATAAAATTGTATATTTCGTGTTATGTGCAATGAATTTACAAACTTTTTATGATTAATGTGCAAAGTATATATTATTTTTTACTAATTTTTCAATTAGTAAAGTTGGTAGAAAATATGCCAGATATTTGTGAATACAAAATAAGTAGTAACAAATATTTAATCATTTAACTAATATGTTAGAATATTGCGTAAATCTGTTTAGCATTTAATTTATATAATGTCTGAATTATTCTTCTATTATTTATGACTTTGTTTAAAGATAAATTCGTATAAATCATAAAATATATATTATTTATGTTTAGATCAGTATCATTTGTAACTTCGGTAAAAGATAAACAGACTAAATATACTTAAATTAAACGTGAAAGTGCAAGAACCAGAGGATACATTATAAGAACGCTAGTAACAATTGTTAATAAAACAACATATTTTTACTTAATGTTAGTATTAATAATTAACATAATACGTATATTCGAAACCAATTATTATTTAAATTAAAATATCTAAGATGATATATTTGTTCAATTCTGCTGTGCATGATAGAAATATATGTTATATATCTATAACTGATTATATGAGTATAAAATGTTCCATAAAATAGGAATGCATATAGTAATTTTCCTTCCAACAGATTGAGGCACTGAAAGAGCCTTTTAGACTGCGACAGAAATCCAAAGTCAAATCTATCCAATTTCCTTTTCAAACATTCTTGTATGAACTTTAAAATTAAAAGTTTGGTTTCAACCATTTGGCAGATAATGGCAGTAAATTGAATTAGATTCTCCAATAATTTGCTTTCTTCTTAAAAGCTAGAGCGCAGATCAATGTTGGTCAGTCTGCTGCCAAGTTCTAAGTAAATGGTCTTGCGACGACTCTAGAATTATTCTTTGAATGAATTCACGACGAACAATACTTAGAGTTATAATACCTCCTAATTGGTGTCAGATCAGTGCGCTGCGGTCTCGCTGCAAGTATAAAGTAATTAAATCGTCCGTGGCAGGACACCGTTCTCTATAAAATACACCAAGTGTCGCATGTGGCAAAGCAAGAAGGTGCATACAGTATACGCTTTCCAAAATAAGACAATGATTTTAGAATCATTAATATCACATTAGGAATTGTTCATCACTAGCGCCATCCTTTCATTGTTAATATAAAAAATTTGGAGTATTTTTTTCTTCTGTATTGCTATGAGTATTGCTTTCTACAAAGTATTAATATTTCAAAAATATACGTATCATATACAGCATGTTACATGTGATTATATGTATATTGTTATAAGTATTTTCTTTGTTGAATTAACATAAAAGCTGTTTCCTACGTTAACTTTTCATATTATATTTTCGTTCCTTTTCACATGATATGAAAAGATATAGCATTTCATACATTTTAACATACTATTTACATTCAAGTAATGTACATTGTAAATCTGTAAAGATTTACTTAAAATGCATCGCTATACTTACTATCTAACCGTTATAAAGTTTTACTCTTCGCAATTACAGACTCTAAAACATAATATGCAACATTAAGAGCAAAATGCTTCGGACAACCAAATTACATAGAACATGCTGTACAATCTATATATTTCATAACATTAATATTTTATTAAATTTGAAACGTAATATACAGAAGCAAACATATACCTATGTTTTTTACAAAAATTTTTGTAAGTTTTTAGACAATGAATGTATAATTTTGAAAGGCATGTTCATAATTAAACATCTTACTATACATATATATGTATTGTAATACACTGTCAATTTTAACAAACACAATTTTTAAAATAATATTGAAATAAATTTGTTTTAAAGTTTAATTTTCATTCAATGTCCGGATTAAGGAAAGCGTAGATAAAAGAATTATGTTTTTAAAGAATCAAGTAGTATCGTTGTTAATCTAACATGATTTTTTAATAATTGTATTGAATTAACTTGCATCAATGCAGAAGTCACATTTCTTTATATTACATAAAAAGTTTAAAGCTTCACCAACAATTGTGCAATTATATTGTCAAGTTATGAAATTTACAAATTTAATAATAATTTCTTGTGTCAACACTATGTAAACTTTGTATGAATAGTGAAACGCATTTTTATTCTGTGGTGATTATTTATCTATATTTTTCAGATAAAATTTATTAACTGAATTAAAGGTGGCATAATGGTGTAAGCATCAAAGTTGAAGAAGTGCATTTGTTGAATAGTGAAGCTTAAAAACATAAATAGTATTTGAAACGAATTAGAAGATAATAAAACAGTATACAACTTTCTGTTACACATTCTGAATTCATCTGATGATTAAACCATTAATGCCCTATGTCTATATTATGTCCATTTACTTTTAAATATAGTTTTTATTGTTAAAATCCTTTTTTAAAATGTTTTAAAATTATATGTATAATAAATACATACCATACAAAGTTTAAAAAACACAACACTTGACCATTTCTAACAAAATTGCAAAGAAGCTTATAAGCTTAGGCTCAATAAGAAAAGCTAAAGATATTAAATATTAAAAGCATAGTACTTTTAATGATTATAATGATTTAAATTGTTTTAAATTAAATAAAAGAAGTGTGGAATAACGTATTCCAACATTGAAGATTATTTTCCACAAAACGAAACCATGATAAAACTTAGTTATAACAAAAAAGTTATTAATATTTATGTATATAACATTGAAATCTTAACATAAATATATTACTTTCGATTTACACTTTTTATATATCCCCGTGCAGTTTGTTAACAAAGTACAAAATCTTTTTCACTGATATCTTATAAAAATGATCAGTCTTAACAAAACAGTCATAAAGATGTCATACTGCACAAAAATACTTACTTCTTTTTATATCAAATTATCAATTTCGAAACAAAGATATTTAAATTAAATTTAAAAAGTGCTAATATTTTGTTAGTGTTGTGGTCGCTGCTATAACTAACAGTAATAACGAATGTAATAGCAGAAACGGTATAGATAAAAGTGAAAGTAATGATTTATATGAAGTGTGAAAATAAAACTCAATGTTATACCAATACATTAGTAATTTTATAGAGACGTAAACAGATTCTTGTTTTTTTTTACCATTTTTGTGCAGTATGATAAATGAAGAATACAATGTGCAATTTGTGCAATATTTTGTTACTTAAAAAGAAAGATAAGAAAAATTGACACATGAATGTGTAAGAGCGAAAGATAGAGCACATTTTCGAGTTTCAGTGCAACTTTTAGGCATTATAACAGTAGATAACTGTCTGCTTACACAGTTTCATACTCGCGACGAATTGAACGTGCCAGACAGCATGCAAAGATTACTCCAATTATCTGAAATCAGAAAGTTTTATTATGCAGTATAATTTCGCATAAAATTAATAATTTATGTAAAATTATAACAATTAGCGATGTTTTGTTCAGCTGAAAATAAGGAAAAAATTAAAATTTGAACTTTAAACTGCAGCTATTTTTTTAAACAATGAAATTTTTTAATCCTTTTGATATGGACTATAACCACATTCATATTGAAGATAATCGGACCTCTTTTTTTTTGTTGTTAAAATGACTTTCTTTAATAACTTGTAACTCCTAAAATTTTATTTATTTTA